TTTGCTGCCGTTACTGAACGCCGATAAAACTTATGGCGACCGGCCGCTGCTGCAAAACGTTAAACGCTTGAATTAATTCCGGGCATCAAAGAATAACGAAATAAATTGAGGTTCCGATTTCACTTGGTGAGATTCGAATAAAAAAAAAACAAAACTATGCTTCATTACAAGAACAGCTCTATTGCTTAAACACCACTTTCAACTAGCTTTTCACAGTATCACCAGACAACTAGTCGGCCACTACAGGATAAAGAACATTCAGCAGCGTCTCATATACATACATTTCTAACGATATTCTCCTCTCTTCACTTCTCCTCAACTCCTCCGCCCCAAATCTCTCTGCTGCACTAGCTTACTATTAAATCAAAAACACCAGAAAAAAATTATACGCACCGCACAACCATATGTATTTGAAATGCGACGAATTTTTGCAAACAAAAAGAGAAAGGCTAGGTGACGATGTTTAAAGCGTGACGGTGGGTATCTCTATCGACGGGATGCAGCAACTTTGGGAATTCGTCTTCCACAAATAACTAATAAGCTAACAGACAACACCTAAAAAACGACAGATCCAGCATCTCTTGAAGGAAAAGGGGAGGAAATACGAAAAAAGAAACCAAGACGCCTGCAGACTGGCCATTAGGCTAGGAGCCTTTAGACATAGTAGCCTGCTTGCTGCGCTGAAGGCGCTGAGGTCGCCTACAACAAAAATATCGAGTTAAAAGTTTGAAAAAAAAAATCAAATGCATCTCAAAAATTAACGAACCGAGAAGACGGTTTTTTCGATTCAGCATGCTAATCGAATTCAAATGGATTTTCAATTTCAGTGCCGGACGCGAGCCTTCATTTGCTTCAGCGGGACGAAGCTAAGAAAAACTCTTCCATTTCATGGTGGCAAATGAAACACATTTTACTGATTTAAAGGAAAAGAGAAATGCGCGTACTAAAAGAAATGGAAAAGGGAAAACTTTAGAATTGAAATAGGTGAACAGAAAGCAGGCAATGCTGATACACCTTGATATTTTAATCAGCTGCTCCTTCGTCGTCGCATTTCTTGTCATTAATGTAGCTGGCTAACTCTCCGTCCTTATGTCTGGGCCTCCCTCACTAACATAATTCCACCTGCAGATTCAAGCGAATCATCTGATCA